GTAAAGAGTAACCCTAGATAAAGAGTTTGAAATTGAGTGATATAAAGCCAAAGAGAGCACAAAAAAAGAGCAAACATCCTTGTTGGGACAATGAAAAGTAGGTCCTACCCTAATTTCATTTTTAGTAGGTGTGTTAGTTTCTTGCAAAGTTGGTATCCTTGTAAAAGTGTGTTTATAAAACTCTTAATATAAACTATAGGCTCTCTCTTTAAACTCTTTTTTATTTAGTTTTTGTTTTCCATTTTTTTTCTCTTTGTGTATATTTGTTTTTATTTTTCTTTAGTTTTTGGTACAGGAAATTACATTTCATGCCTGATTTATTCTCTTTTATACTCTTTTGCTTTAGGAAATAAAATTAGCGTTTTTTTTTGCTATTTGATAAGAATTGATTTCTCAATGAATTTTTTATTTGTTGTTAATAATTATGTTGTATAAAATTTCAATATAAAATTGTGCATTGAATCTTTCACAAATTATGAAACCGAGCTGTTTATTAAGAGCCTGGCCTTGTTTGTTAATTTAATATTTTATTACAAATGGTTGGTTATCTGTTCATTTTGAAATGGATATACAATTTTGTTCTAAAATCTATGGGGAATGGATTAGACATATTTTTTTAATTGTGTAAAATTGTATATATCAGTCGCCCTAAAGAATACGAAACTTATAATTTTTGTAGAGAATCTAACCGAATCTAATCTAACGTATTCAACTAATACCGGTATTTTAGATGAACCATCAGAGGTCTTACAAAGCCAAAACTTATATCAATCTTACTGACATAAGTACTTTTGATTATGGAAATTGGAAAAATTTGCTTAAAAAAAATGCAATATTAATAACAAATTTAGAAACAAATAAACAATTCTTCAAAGTTTTTCAGAGAAGAGTAGAGTAGAGAAGATTCCAGATCGTACGTTATACCATAGGGCGGGATTTTATCGCCATTACTCTGGTTAACCACAATTAAATGAGGAAGGACTTTGATTAGTTTACTATGCTGACGCTGTCGTTATACTTTCTAAAGTAGTAGCTCAACCGGAAAGCAGCATATGTGCAACCAAGAGAGCAGAACGTAAACCAAACTAAAATGAAAATCTTAATATTAGCAAAAAAGACTGAAATTCCTGTCTGTACCGAACTTAGGTTATTGAAGAGGAGTAAATTTCTCATAAAACTATTCTTCATAAAACCTCCCTACAATTACAAAGTTTCCGAAGAACAATTCTTCAAAGTTTTTGATTGATTATAAGAACCCTTCTATGATTTTAATGGAAAGTCAATTTACGAGACACAAAATTCTTATCGACCCCGCTCGATCGACGGCGCTTCGTGACTGGATCAACCAAATCCGAAGAAATAGATAGAGAAGATTCCAGATATTTTGCGATATACCATAGGGCAAGATTTTATCGCCAGTACTCTGGTTAACCACAATTAAATGATGAAGAAGGACTTCTGTCTGTTATACTGACGTTGTGTTAATACTTTTTAGAGGAGAGGAGCTCAACCAGACGGCAGGATATGTTCTACCAAGAGGGCAGAACATGAACTCAACTAAAATGAAAAACTTTTTATTAGCAAGAAGAACAGAAATTCCTGCCTGAACTAATGAATTCCGGTTTTTGAACAGGGCGATATTTGAGAACGACAGGGATAAAAACCTAAGCATTTGGTTTTCGGACACTAAAATGGAAATAGCAAATAGAGGCTAAAACCAGCAAATCATATCGATGTTGAGCGCTATGTACGTTAGGCTCGCCTGAGTCCAAATAAGAGTATTTACATGTTGCTTGGGTGTAAGTGAAGCCATGAGCACTACATCGACCAAAGTTTAAGAAACATCGCTGGATGTTCTTGGAAGGGCTCTTATCTTTAAGCGAATTGACCAAAGCCGTGTTTAGGGCACGTCATCAATGTATACCTGACATAATGGACGGCTAATATAAATAGTCTGAAAGATCAGATAATAACTAACAAAATCGTCGTCAAGTGAAACAGCAGATCAAAATACCGAGGGAATCCTACAATCATAATGAAATTACAGCAATATCAGGTGATCAAGTTAAATCTAAGTTCCTATTGGACTGTAAGATAGTTTTAGTAGAATATTTTAACAGATTTAAGATTTGCATTATATTGGTACCCTGACTACTCGAAAATGTACTTTTATAAAGGAAAGGAAACTATATGAAATAAATCTAATGAGTTAAAACCCGTTTGACTCGACGAGGACCGAAATAAGGAACTACATCAAGAGTTTCTGAAGACTGGATAAGGTTTTCCACCAATATTTTTCATAAAAGCAGTGCGTATTTTTCTTTTGATTTTATACTCCTATCAACTTAATCTAATATCTTATACCCAGCAAAAACTTTCATTACCATGTAAGGGGTTAAAATGCTAAAATTTACTTACACAATAGCATTTTAAGTTTTTAATTTAACACGGTAATGTCATTGGAGTCAATTACTTACCACAAACGCTTACAGGTAATTAGTTAAATTGTATGTCTATCCTTATAAATTTTTATAGAGGGATTTAAGTTAACATTAAAGTAATTTATGGAGAATTTAATCGTAATACTAATGTTTATAAAGGAATTATTAAATTTCAAGTCATTTACAGAATTGGTCTTTATATGAGTGCCAGGGTCAAATGAGGCCCGATCATTAAGAAAATCGGCAGAATAATTTAGACTTAAAATGGATCATTCCAGTAGAAGTACTTTTTTCAATAGCCTTTTTTGACAGATCAAGTGTGAGTCGTGTCAGTTTTGTTTGGCATTTCACAACTGAAGCCTCTCGACAAAGTTCCAAGAAGATTGGACGTTTTCGAGGCAAAATTTGTTTAGCGATGAGACCTATTTTTGACCCAATGTCTATATAAACAAACAAAATTGCCGCATTTGGGACGAAGATAAGCCTTAAGAGATTCAAGAACTGTCACTTCATCTAGAAAATTGCGACTGGTAATTAGAAATAGATGAAACTAAATCGATTTTGAAAAATATTTTGAAACGATAGGAAAACTTTAAAGTGGGTGTAGAGCCAATATTTTTATGAGTTACATACATCCGCACAAAGCCATTATACCCTCCCTACTAAAATGGTGTAGGGTATAAGGAAGATTAGTAATTTGGGTAAAGTATATATAAAAAATTTAATTTTGATTTTTGCTAATCCAGCACACAACTCATTATACACCTTAAAGTATACCGATCGACTCAGAATCACTTCCTGAGTCTATTAAGATATGTCCGTCCGTCCGTCTGTCTGTCTGTCCATGCAAACCTTGTGCGTACGCTACAGACCACATTTTTCAAGATATTTGGACCATACGAGTTTTTCGGCACAGTGACGATGCCTATTGAAAATGGTTGAAATCGGTCCATTATTTCACCTAGCCCCCATACAACCTGATCTTCCGATTTTGGGTTTTTAACACATAACTATGTCAAATATACTATAATCTCATATATAAGCATAAATGACCATGCCAATTTTTATAATGATCGGGGCGTCGTTTGACCATAGCCCCCTTTCAAAAATATCTTAAACGTCCAAAAATTTACTTATAACCATTAGTATCGCGATGAAATTCAGCATTACTAACCTTTATATAAAATTACATCCCTTTTACCAATTTTTTGAGGATCGGCCCATATTTGACTTTAGCTCCCATATAAAACCTCTTTTACAAATTTAATTTTTCATCAATAAATTGCTTAAATACATCGGAATTAAGGTAAATTTCAACGAATTTTTTATGAAAAATAAATAATTTTTAAAATATACCCATGGTGTAGGGTATCAAGTAGTCAGCCATGTTCGACTATACTTTCCTACTTGTTTTATGTATGTTTCTAAAATTATGAAATATTTTTCCTTTCAATAGCCCTAATATCATGTAACCAAATTTCTAACCCCATATGCAGCATAAGCTAAAAATTATGTGAAATAAATTATTATTCAAACAGTGTTCTGCATTAAGAAACATTACTACACAACGACCTTGAGCGTTTAAGTGGATCCTTTGCAAATTAATTAACTTTTCTTTTTTTTTTCTACAAAACTTTTCATAACTTATTTGCTATATACTGGGAAAAACTTTAAACTAATTTGAATGAAAAAGAAAGAATAAAAACAAAGATACTTTAAACTCAGTGTGGCATAAAAATTATTTTAATTGGTTTTACCGGTCATGACACCTACACAATTTTTCACCTTAAGACCACTTGCAAAAGAAATGTACCAAAAAAAAGGCAAGAAAAAAGAAAAAGCAAAAAAAAAATTCAACAATAACTGCCATTGAACCCATTGATGAAAAATTAAGATGAAAATCACTATAGAATAAAAGCATCATGTAACAAATTGAAGCTTAAAATATAAAAGAATTTTGGGCGCAGAATCCTTAAGAGCAGAGGTTTTACTTTCTCTTAAGAGAAATGGAAATACCAGGTATTCTTTTTTTTCACTGTTAGCTGCATGGTTTTTGTTAAATTTTTAATAAAAAATCTATAAGATTCTTTTTTCTTTTTTGCGAAATATCCAAAAGAAAAACTGATGTAAAAAGAATCTTGACCTTATTTTATTTTACTTTTTATCGCGTCTGATATTCTTGATATATTTAGGAGAAAATTTAAAAATTTTCATACTAAAACACTTTTATAAATTTTGTTTACATTATTTATGTATTTTTTTTCATATAAACAAAAATTGTTTATAAATTTTTGTTGTTATTGTGTGTATATAGAGAATTTTTGCTTGAGATACACTAAAACAAAACTATAGATACTAATTGTTATTTTGTGTTAAAAATGCTTTTGTTGTTTTTGTTATTTTTGTTTAAGATTAATTTATTAAGACTTGTGGCAATGCTGATGAAATATTGTATTTATTACACTGCTAAATGATGAATAAAATTAATTACTTTTTTTCCAATTTAAATTTTTTAATAATTTTATATTCTTAAGATATTTCTCTTTTTTGTAGCTTTACCTTTTCAAATTGCAAGCAGATACATAAAGATTTAATGCTGCGTATAGTAGATTCAAAATTAAATATTTTTATTTCTTATTTTTTTAAGGGTAGAAAATCTTTTTATTTATTTCATTCTAACGAATTCTATGGTGAAATGAAAAATATTATAATTATTATAAAAAAATAGTAAAATTAAAAAACACACTATATGTTTTGCAATATTTTTATGCTTTTGTTTAAAAATCGACAAACATATATATATAAACGCGCAGATACACAGAATACAAGTCGAATTTCTTGTTTTTTCTTTTTTTTTTGTATCTGTTAGATACAACAACAACTCTACTAAGTAAGAACACACTAATCACAAAATATTATTCCAATATATATATATTTATATGTCTATGTATAAAATACAAATAAAAAACTGAAACAACAATACAACAAACAACTTGAACGCTACGCTTACAAATAAGAACTGAATGAGCATTCACCAAACAGTTGGGTGCAAAGCCAGTGTTTGTATTTATTTGTATTTGGTAGATACTCTCGATACATACATAGATGATGATGATGATGTTGTACTATTATATGTACTATACATTTTATAGTTGGATGAATAAACGTGTACACAGAAATATATAGTCGTACAACAGCAAAAGCAACGGCTGTAGCAACATTCCACATTTGTTTGTGGGTTAGGGAGGTTGAGACATATAGAGCAAAGAAGGAACAACATGAAAACACAACAAAGAGTCAGCTGTGCGCAATCAAAAAAGTAGCACGCAAACATCTCTAAAATGTGCAGTTTTTTCTGTTGTTGTTTGGTTTTGGTTTTGTTCATTTCTTGTTGTGTATTCTATAAATAATAATAACAAACCATAACAAAGTAATGTTGCTGGGAACACTGTTGCTAGCAACATGCTGCTATTCATATATCTAAACATGTTCATTTTGTATCTGTAAGTATGTTTTGTATAGATAAAATTTTTTACTTTGTTCTTATACATACGTAAATAGAGTCGCAAATGGAAAGAAACAGAAAATACTTAATCGCAATAAAACAAAGGACGTTAACCCCATGAGTGGTGGTAATGAGAAAGTGAACTTAAAACTAAAGTTATTTACTAACTAACTACCTAACTTACTAACTAACTACTACTAACTAACTAACTAACTAACTAACTAACTACTACTAACTACTAACTACTAACTAACTAACTAACTAACTAACTAACTAACTAACTAACTAACAACTAACTAACTAACTAACTAACTAATAACTAACTAACTAACTACTAACTAACTAACTAACTAACTAACTAACTAACTAACTAACTACTAACTAACTAACTAACTACTACTAACTAACTAACTAATAACTAACTAACTAACTAACTATAACTACTAACTAACTAACTAACTAACTAACTAACTAACTAACTAACTAACTACTAACTAACTAACTACTAACTAACTAACTAACTAACTAACTAACTAACTACTAACTAACTAACTACTAACTAACTAACTAACTAACTAACTACTAACTAACTAACTAACTAACTAACTACTAACTAACTAACTAACTAACTAACTAACTAACTAACTACTAACTAACTAACTAACTAACTAACTAACTAACTAACTAACTAACTAACTAACTAACTAACTAACTAACTAACTAACTAACTAACTAACTAACTAACTACTAACTAACTAACTACTACTAACTAACTAACTAACTAACTAACTAACTAACTAACTAACTACTAACTAACTAACTAACTAACTAACTAACTAACTAACTAACTACTAACTAACTAACTAACTAACTAACTAACTAACTAACTACTACTAACTAACTAACTAACTAACTAAACTACTACTAACTACTAACTAACTAACTAACTAACTACTAACTAACTAACTAACTAACTAACTAACTAACTACTAACTACTAACTAACTAACTACTAACTAACTAACTACTAACTAACTAACTAACTAACTAACTAACTAACTACTAACTAACTAACTAACTAACTAACTAACTACAACTAACTAACTAACTAACTAACTAACTACTAACTAACTAACTAACTAACTAACTAACTAACTAACTAACTAACTAACTACTAACTAACTACTAACTAACTAACTAACTAACTAACTAACTAACTAACTACTAACTAACTAACTAACTAACTAACTAACTACTAACTAACTAACTAACTAACTAACTAACTAACTAACTACAACTAACTAACTAACTAACTAACTAACTAACTAACTACTAACTAACTAACTAACTAACTAACTAACTAACTAACTAACTAACTAACTAACTACTAACTACTAACTAACTAACTAACTACTACTAACTAACTAACTAACTACAACTAACTAACTAACTAACTAACTAACTACTAACTAACTAACTAACTAACTAACTAACTAACTAACTAACTAACTAACTAACTAACTAACTAACTAACTAACTAACTAACTAACTAACTAACTAACTACTAACTAACTAACTAACTAACTAACTAACTAAAACTAACTAACTAACTAACTAACTAACTAACCTAACTAACTAACTAACTAACTAACTAACTAACTAACTAACTAACTAACTAACTAACTAACTAACTAACTAACTAACTAACTAACTAACTAACTAACTAACTAACTACTAACTAACTAACTACTAACTAACTAACTAACTAACTAACTAACTAACTAACTAACTAACTAACTAACTAAGAATAATTCTTATTGATAAATATGTATGAATGTATAGACGGGAATGGCCGACCTTATGATAGATACCTATACCTGTGAGTATGTTAAAAAAATTATAAAACATTTATTGCTTTTTAATTTAATTCCGAAATAGTTTTACAATTTGTTGACAAAACAAGATATCGTCTACAAGAGGTTTTATGTGGGGATAAAGGTAAATATGGGCCTATTCTTACAAATTTTGGTTGAGAAGTTTACGTTTACATAGAAGTAAATTATGTAGAATTTCATCCCTTTATTAATGTTTATACGTTTATTTTGACCTTAAAGTCATTATCTGAATGGGAGTTTGTATGGGGCCTTGAGTCAAATGAGGCCCAAAGAACGGTTGTATGTGGGCTTGTCGTAATAATGGATTTTAACAATTTTCAATCGTCCTTGGGCAAAAAGAAAAGTATATGCCAAATTTCATCAACTTATTTTGCAAATTTGTGGGTGTTACAAACATCAGCACAAACGCATAGCACCCTCCCCACTATAGTGGTGTAGGGTACAAAGATTTTTTAATAAAAAAAATTATGTAACAAATATATTAATTTTCTTAAATATGTACTTAATACATACAAATAACCTTATTTGTAAACAATCCAATCGTTTATAATTCTCGAATGCTTTGTCGTTTACAGAATAGTACTTAAGCTTAGTACCATTGTAGAATTTTATAAGTTCTCGCTTTTTGGAGAATAGTCTGGTAAGGGCATGTTTTGATAGGGCGAATGATTTGGAGGCCATTCGGATGTTTAGATATCTATCGCCGGTGGATTTGTTGACCCTTAGGGGAGCTGGCCTCCTCTATGAGAGTGCAGACCTCTTATTTTATCATAGGAGAATCCACACTCTGGATATTCGTGATACGGTATATAATACCACACAATGAGATTGTCTTTCCTTTTGTATATAATTTTTATCTATTTCTTGTCTTTTGTAAATATCTTTTATCTGTCTATCCTTTTGTGAATATTTTTATTCTAGTTTGTAAGTTCTTTGTTATTAGATGTAAGTTTTAGTAAGTAAGCTTTGAATGTATCCCTTTTTTAATCCCTTTTTTGGGGAATGTATCGAGAGTGAACAGAATGTTTTAGTAAGCGTCATAGCATAGCTATATTTTATGAGGATATTGGAAAGTCCATTATTAATACCGTAGTATGTAGGAAGAATGTATTAATTGTTTTAGTTTTGTAAGAGAACCTAAATGTTATGTAATGAATTTTAATGGGTAAATAAATGAAATCTTGAAATCTTGAAATCTAGAATTTTATAAAGCATGATAAAGCGATTTAACATGAGCTATACAACAACAAAAACGACAGCTGGTTTTATCATTAAAATAAAGTTGGTATATGAAAAAATGAGAAGTGAATAGAAGGTAATCAAAATTGTTATAGAGTTTTAATAAGAAAAGTTATATTTGAAAGGATTTTATTGAGTGCAATTAAGACAAAAGTTAGGCATATTATATATCACTCGATAGGTAATTGTGTCTAGTATATAATTATGATTATACATTGTAAACATTTTACAGCATTTATGAGATAAATATTATATATATTTTTACTTGTTTTTGAAAAGCTTAGTACAGCTTCCTAAAGTTAATTTGTATGAGGACTTGATGAATTCATTGTAGTTCTTGAATAAATCATTTAAAACAATAAAAATCTAACAATAATAAGACAAACGAAGCTATTTATAAAGTCGACTGGAACAGAGGTCAGTGGAATTATCGTTATAATCATAGCCATTATGAAGTTTCAAAATAACTTTGCTTCCTAAAGGGTTAAGTAATTATCGCTAATATTTTATTGAATTGTAATTTTACATTCTTCTAAATTTAGTTCCTTAACGTATAATTCGTTTATTTTTGCAAATAATTCTTAATGAGTCATTTATATCCATTTGCTATTGCTGTTGTTACCACTATCAAATCATCATCGAACGTATTAATATTCAGCCTTTGTTTTTTAAACCACGTAAAATTCACATTATACTGTATTGTATCATTTAACCGACATCAATTGTATCTCAACATTTAAGTGCAAATGCACTTAGAGTATATAAACTAAAAATAAATGTTTATAACACGTTTGAGTACTTTCAAATAAAATTGTTTGTTATTATTTGCTTTTGCATTTGTTTTTCTTTTATAAATTTTTTATTAAACTCTCTGTAGTTCTCTGATGTTAGAGCACTCTCTCCAGCCTCTAAAAATTTTCTCTGGTTAAATATTTTTAGTTATGTACTCTTATATATTAAAATTATAATGTTCTCTTAGTTGTTTTATATCTTCGTACTAAGGGGTTGCAAAATTTGTTGTTTTACTTTCACTTAAATTTCGGTTGCCTTTTTGTTGTCCTAGGTGTTATGCTCGCTCCTATGTCCTTTTTAGAAGACGTTAATAGTAATTTTTTCCACAGGAAGCATTTAGTAGGTATGAGAAACTTTTTTATATATGAAAGGAAACTTAACGGATATATGTATGTAAATAAAGTATTGACATTATTATATGTATTGAAATTGAATAAGTTTTATTGCATTCAGTCCTTATACAGGCAATAGTTTCAAATACGATATTTTATATAAAATATAGCATTGCTAGTAAAATTTTGATATTAATTTAGTTTGTTACAAATCTTTGCCTTGATTAGTTTGAAATTGTTTCAGTAT